GGGTGAGGACCTCTAGGGAGAGTAAGGCAGGATACATTCTCGTCCTTATACTTCGTTCCCTGTTTTTGTACCTGCTAACTTTTGCTCTACAACAAATAGGCCTTTAAGCATCTGTTCTGAGCCTGGCCTTGCACTGGGCAAAACTGGAAACATGGGCATTATGAAACCTGGGCCATACATCTAGAAGTACTTAATATATTGCGAGTGGTGAACCTGGAAACAATGGACTATAATTGCATGGGTCAAGGTATGTAATAGACGGAGATGGATTTGATGTGTGAGAGTGCTGACCCACTGACTCTGACTTGGGATTAGGTAAATTTACCTTTAAAAAGGCATTGAGACAGGGCCTGGTTAGAGAAACCTGTTAAGGTTATTGCCAGAAGATGAAGCAGAGGTACAAAATGCTACTTTTGGGGTATGGCTGCTTTAGGGCCTTTCATTTCATTTTCAGATTTGATGAAATAATAGGGCATCTGTGGCCAGGCGCAGTGGCTCATGCCTGTAATCCTAGCACTTTGGGAGGATGAGGCGGGCAGATCACGAGCTCAGGAGATTGAGACCATCCTGGCTAACCTGGTGAAACCCCATCTCTACTAAAAATTCAAAAAATTAGCCGGGCGTGGTGGCACACACCTGTAGTCCCAACTACTTGGGAGGCTGAGGCAGGAGAATGGTGTGAACCTGGGAGGTGGGACTCGCAGTGAGCGGAGATTGCGCCACCTCACTCCAGCCTGGGCGACACAGCGAGACTCCGTCTCAAAAAAAAAAAAAAGTCTTATTTGGCCAGGCACGGCGTCTCATTCCTGTAATCCCAGCACTTTGGGAGGCTGAGACGGGCAGATCGCGAGGTCAGGAGATCAAGATCGTCCTGGACAACATGGTGAAACCCCGTCTCTACTAAAATACAAAAAATTAGCCAGGCGTAGTGGCGGGTGCCTATAATCCCAGCTACTCAGGAGGCTGAGGCAGGAGAATTGCTTGAACTTGGGAGGCGGAGGTAGCAATGAGCCGAGATTGCACCACTGCACTCCAGCCTGGGTGACAAGAGTGGAGACTCCGTCTCAAAAAAAAAAAAAAAAAAAAAAAGAAAATAGGACATCTGTGTCCAGGAATCTTTTTATCTCCCCACCACCCCTCAAGCAGTGCTGGGCTGACTGCAGAAGGCTCTTCCTTGTTCTGCACTTGTTCCATTTCTGTTTTTGACAGATGAAGCCTGAGAGGTGTCAGAGCTATGCCAGCTGCTATGGGGCCAGAAACAGGTGAGGCTTTTAGGTCTGCTTGAGTTAAGGAGTGAGGGGTTTGTCCTCTTCAGCTAGCTTAATTAAGGTCTTTGCTATGAAACTGGATAAGTAGTTCATGTAGCTTGTTTTTCATTTGGGGCTATTTTCAGCCTCGGAGGCCAGCAAGGTGAATGACTGAGATGCTTTTATGGGGTTCAAGCTTTTGCTAGATCCTATTTGCCAGGATAGGTGCCCAGCAATTTTCCAGGACATCAGCTTTTCTGAACAAGCAGCACTGAAAGGAAGAAGCACTTCCCTTTTCTCTCAGTGGGCAGTATAGGAAACGTGAGAGTGGGTGGTCAGTTTAATATTACAACCCAAGTTTTAAGTAGAGATGCTGTATAGTTTGGAACATTGCCATATAGTTTTTTTTTTTTTTTTTTTTTTAATTTTTGAGACAGAGTCTCACTCTGTTGCCCAGGCTGGAGTACAGTGGTGTGCTTTCTGCTCACTGCAGCCTCCATCTCCCAGATTCAAGGGATTTTCCTGCCTAAGCTTGGAGATTACAGGTGCTCCACACCTGGGATTACAGGTGTGCACCACCATGCCCAGCTGAATTTTTGCATTTTTAGTAGAGATGGAGTTTCACCATGTTGGCCAGGCTGGTCTTGAACTCGTGACCTCAAGTGATCCACCTGCATCGGCTTCCCAAAGTGCTGGGATTATAGGTGTGAACCACCGTGCCCGGCTGCCATATAGTCTTTAATGCAGTTTTGAGGGACTCATCTGAATTGTTCTTGTGTTTTTCTTGTTATCTTGACTGCCAGGCTTTACTATGGGGGGAGCTCTATAAATGTATAGATCTGCCGCCGGCCAGAGACTTGATCTCTTTTGCGCTTGCACACCTCTAGGGCTAACAAAGCAGATGGAGTGGGCTGTACTAAGGGGTGATGCATTGGTGGTCCATATCCAAGAGTGTTCTTGGGAGTTCCCTATCTAGTGAGTGCTTACTATGTGCCAGGCAGTTGTGGCAACAGTGGGCATCATACTAGGTGCTGAAGTTTTATCAGAGATACCTAAGGCAGATCATTATCTGATCCCTAAGGCCCAACAAATAAATAAATATTTGTTGTTTAATAAATGTTGGTCCAAGGAATAAACTATTTTTTAAAGGAACCCAGATACAGGGGGTGTGAGAAGGAAGCTAGCAGTCATTGAATGCTTACTATGTGCCAAGTACTGTGTTAAGTGCTTTCACAGATATTTAATTTTTTTTTTTATTATTAATTTTTTTTTTTTTTTTTTTTTGAGACAGAGTCTCGCTCTGTCGGCCAGGCTGGAGTGCAGTGGCCGGACCTCAGCTCACTGCAAGCTCCGCCTCCTGGGTTCACGCCATTCTCCTGCCTCAGCCTCCCGAGTAGCTGGGACTACAGGCGTCCACCACCTCGCCCGGCTAGTTTTTTGTATTTTTAGTAGAGACGGGGTTTCACCGTATTAGCCAGGATGGTCTCGATCTCCTGACCTCGTGATCTGCCCTTCTCAGCCTCCCAAAGTGCTGGGATTACAGGCTTGAGCCACCGCGCCCGGCCTATTATTAATTTTTTTGAGACGGAGTCTCACTCTGTTGCCCAGGCTGGAGTGCAATGGCGCGATTTTGGCTCACTGCAACCTTTACCTTCTGAGTTCAAGCGGTTCTCTCACCTCAGCCTCCGGAGTAGCTGGGATTACAGGCGTGCGCCACCACATCTGGCTAATTTTTTGTATTTTTTCTTTTTAGTAGAGTTGGGGTTTCACCATGGTTACTTAATTTTTAATACAGTCTTCTGAGATTGTTAATGTTATCAGTATCTTTGAGATGGACAAAATAAGAGGTTAAATTACTTGTCAAAGTCACTTTCTATTAGCTTTATCTAGGCTCTTTTTTGAGGGTCTGGCCTCTTGGTTTGGTAGATACCTAACAGGGTAATCTTATTTTTAGTATTGTTGGGTGAGTGGGGCTAGTCTGAGTCTTTTCAAAGTCACAGGAGATGCAGTTGTCTAGGCTTGGTGCTGATGATATAGATAAGGATAATATAAGGTACATAACCTGGAAAAATTTCTATTGAGTGGGGAGACAGGTAAATAGGCATTACAGGGTAGTAAATATTAAGCAAAGACAGGCCTTTTTACTTTGTGAGAGGTACATTGGGCAGGGACTTTTACTCTGAGGCTTCAACTCTTGTCCTTTCTGTACCTGTAGCTCCTCATTGGGATATCCCTTATTACCTGACCATGTGTTTTGACAGTTTCATGAGTGTTACTTTTTCTTCAAGATTGCTTACTCCTTGAGACTAGATATTCTTTTTTTTTCTTACTGCCTCTTAGATATCTGACCTAGGCCATCACGCTTACCTTCTCTGGACCTTAGTGGCATTATCTGTAAAACAAGGCTAATGATAGGTGTTTTGCAATCTGAGAGCCGGGGCCAGTCCAGGTGGTGATCTCTGGAGGTTCATCTAGTTTTTTCAAATCTGTGATTTCTATGATCATCCTCTTTTGGTCCTTATATAGAGCTGGATATCCAGGAGGCTTTAAGTTTGTCACAGAGATTGTTGAAGGTATTTTCTGGTACCTCAGAAGTTTTAAGAACTTTTCTGTATCACCCTGTTAGAGCTACATACCCAGCAGCACTGACAGAGACTCATGGCTTCTCCTGGCCAGTCCCTTGGACCGAACCAGTTTTCTCAGCCTGGTAGGGAAGATTTGACTGAAATTTTAAACTCAAAAGGATATCATGGCCAGGCATGGTGGCACACGCCTGTAATCCCAGCTACTCAGGAGTCTGAGGCAAGAATCTGGGAGATGGAGGTTGCAGTGAGCCGAGATCACACCAGTGCACTCCAGCCTGGGTGACGGAGCAAGACTCCATCACACACTCACATACACACACACACACACACACACACACACACAAAGCGTATTGTATTTAAGTGTATTTTCTAGTATGGCTTCTTTCATCATCAGCTAGGTCAACTAGAGGTAGTGCTTTCCTGATTTTGCTTCTGGAAGGCGTTCTTTGAGCAGTGAGATAGGACCCCACCCTTAGGACTTTCACCTCTCCAGGTATTGGGCCAGAAGTCTAAAGCTCCATGAAATTCTGTTTATGTACAATTCTAGCTTGAGCTCTAAACTTGTAAAAGAATCAACTTTGATATGACTTGGGGTCCCATGGGACCTACCAGGAAATCACAGGAACTCTGAGCTACAGCAAAGTCCACCACTAATTGGACAGTTAATAATGCTAATTATTATGATAAAAAATGTATATTGAATACTTATATGTCAGGTACAATTACATATTTATTTAATTCGCACAGCAGCCAATGATATAGATATTGTTACTATTCTCATTTTGTAGATGAAGAATCTAAAGTCACGTGTCTAGTAATTGGTGCAAGTAGGACTTAAGCCTAATTAGAAATTTCATGTTCTAATTCCAAACCCTATGTTCTTTTATTTTTAAATAAAAAAAAAATTTTATTTTCATTTTTTTTTTTTTTTGAGACAGAGTCTCACTCTGTTGCCCAGGCTGGAGTGCAGTGGCACAATCTTGGCCCACTGCAACCTCTGCCTTCTGGGCTTCAGTGATCTTCTCCTGCCTCAGCCTCCCCAGTAACTGGGGCTACTACAGGCGCATGCCACCACACCTGGCTAATTTTTGTATTTTTAGTGGAGACAGGGTTTTGCCATGTTGGCCAGGCTGCTCTCAAACTCCTGACTTCAGGTGATCTGCCCGCCTTGGCCACCCAAAGTGCTAGGATTACAGGTGTGAGCCACTGTGCGGGCTCACTATTGTATTTTAATTATTTACTTCGATATCCTCCTACCAGATTTTAAATTGCTAGAAGGCAGGGACTGATTACTCTTTATTTCATTAAAAAATGAAGTATTGAGTTATGGCATATATCCAATAAAATGAATTAAATGCTTGATGAATTTTTACCAATGTATTTATCTATGCAACTACCACTTAGATCAAGATACATTTCTGCATCTTTCTAGAGTGTAGCATAGAGATGAGCAGACATTTTCTGTGGAGGGCCAGAGAGTAAATGTTTTAGGCTTGATGGGCTATACTGCAAGTTGTAACAGGAAAACAGCCATAGATAATATTTAAATGGACATGTGTAGCTGTGTCTAATAAAACTTTGTTTACAAAAACAAGGTGTTTGGGCTAGATTTGGCCTGAGAGCCTCAGTTTGCTGATCTAGCAGAGTGTCTAAGGACAAAATAGAAATTCAGTAAATGTTTGTTGAATTGTGGACAAAGTCCTTGATTTCAGAAATCTCTTCTTGATTTTCTAGCAGTGGGGCAGCTTGTATCTCCACAGTAGGGCTGTACTTTGTTTTTATTTTTTATGTTTTATTTATTTATTTTTGTTATTTAGTTTTTATTTCATAATCATAAACTTAACTCTGCAATCCAGCTAGGCATGGAAGGGAACAAAGAAAACATGGAACCCAAAGGGAACTGCAGCGAGAGCATAAAGATTCTAGGATACTGCGAGCAAATGGGGTGCAGGGGTGCTCTCCTGAGCTACAGAAGGAATGATCTGGTGGTTAAGATAAAACACAAGTCAAGTTGTCCACAGTTAGCAGTGGTGATCTTCTTGCTGGTCTTGCCATTCCTGGACTCAAAGTGCTCTGTGGCCTTCACAATATTCATGCCTTCTTTCACCTTGCCAAAGACCACAGGCTTGCCATCCAACCACTCAGTCTTGGCAGTGCAGATGAAAAACTGGGAACTGTTTGTGTTGGGTCCAGCATTTGGCATGGACAAGATGCCAGGACCTGTATGCTTTAGGATGAAGTTCTCATCATCAAATTTCTCCTCGTAGATGGACTTGCTGCCAGTGCCATTATGGCGTGTGAAGTCACCACCCTGACACATAAACCCTGGAATAATAATTCTGTGAAAGCAGGAGCCCTTATAACCAAATCCTTTTTCTCCAGTGCTCAGAGCATGAACGTTTTCTGCTGTCTTTGGAAACTTGTCTGCAAATAGCTCAAAGGAGACATGGCCCATTGTCGAAGGCGATGTCATGGTGGGGTTAACCATGTCTGAGAGTACAGGGCTCCCGGTGGCGGCAGCATCTGCAAAGCCTTTTATGTTTTATTTTTAATAGAGATGAGGTTTTGCCATGTTGCCCAGGCTGGTCTTGAACTCCTGAGCTCACGCAATCCACCCTCTTCGTCCTCCCGAAATGCTAGGGCTGTAATGTTGAGAGGTTCTTTGTGGAACAGGCTGCCTTTTGATAAGTTGTTTGTGTTCATAAGGGAATAAAAATGTCATCCCTTCCAGCACTCTCCCAATTTTATTGGTGCAACATCTTCAGAATCTTTGGGATCCATGAAAATAATATAGGGGTATGTTTGTTTGAATCCCCTGAGGCTATTAGGTGTTATTTATTTTGTCCTTGCTGCCTAGCCAGCATGGATGGACAGGGATGCTCAGTAAATATTTGTTTTTGAATGAATAAATGAATTTAAATTGCTTTCAGTATTTTAACAAGCCTAATGGAAATTGTACATTTATCTACAATAAAAGTGTCTTTGATTTTGGTTTCAATTGTACCAGTTTTGTGTGAACACTAGTTTGCTCATGCTGATTAGTTCTTTGACTGGCAGTTGATGGCATCATAGGACATAAACCTACCCAGTGAGTGAATGACCTTGGACACAAGTACACAGCCAAAATAAGCAACTGGTAGCAGAGCCTGATACATGAATGTCTACATGTTTACTTCCACTTTCTTGCTCATTAGCAATATTATTTGTATATGGTTGATAATGGTATATGGTTGGTTAAAATCTGGGGCAACATTTTTTTTTTTTTTGAGACAAAGTCTCACTCTGTAGCCCAGTCGCCCAGGCTGGAGTGCAGTGGCGCAATCTTAGCTCACTGCAACCTCTGCCTCCCAGGTTCAAGTGACTCTCCTGCCTCAGCTTCCCAAGTAACTGGGTTTACAGGCATGTACCACCACGCCTGGCTAATATTTTTATTTTTTGTAGAGATGGGGTCAATATCCAAATAAGGTCTACATCATGTCGATTGATCTAAATCTTGAGTCTTTTCTGGGACTACAGGCATGTGCCACTATGCCTAGCTAACTTTTGTATTTTTTATAGAGATGGGGTTTTGCCATGTTGCCTAGGAAAGTCTTAAATTCTGTAGCTCAGGTGATCTGCCCACCTCCCAAAGTGCTGGGATTACAGGTGTGAGCCACTACGCCAGGCCAATTTGAACTATGTTTGAAAAACAGGGTTCCATTGTTTAAAAGTAAGTCTTGAAAACTATTGTATTGTAGTTGTTCTCTGACAGCACCAATTATGACAGGAACCAGGAACTATGAAGTGGTTGTGACTGTGACTAACTTGTAATATGTTTTAAACTTTTTTTAACTTCCTCATATTTGTTGTTTTTAGCTTATGTTCTTTCTCAACTCAACAGTTAAACTCTTACAACAAAAACGGCCCATATGTTTTAACTTTTGAAGGGAGAGATGGGTGGACTGTCTTACCTTAGAGCCAGGCTTCAGGCTTGGGGGAGGGAGTCCCAAGGGCTGGAGTGGGGGTTCTGCTTTAATGAGCAAAGGAAGTGGTTAAGTCCCTGGGGCCTATGCAGCCTGAAAAAGAGCCCAAAAAGTGACCTTGGGACCATCAAAGACTAGACGCTCTTAGCAGAGCATGGGTCCCTTTTCCTTACCCCTTATTCCACAGCCTACAGGGTCTCTTTCAGTTGTCCAAAGGACCTGGCTGGTCAGGCTTTACTTGAGTCACATCCGACATGTTCCAGGCCCAGGGTCCTGGTAGCTGTGTTTAGGGCTGATTCCTAGGAATCATGACAAAGAATGAAGGGCACTTTGTTTTTGACTGTGTTTTTTTTTTTTGAGACAGGGTCTCGATTGGTTGCCCAGGCTGGAGTGCAGTGGCATGATCTCGGCTCATTGCCACCTTCGCCTTCCGGGTTCAGGCAATTCTCCTGCCTCAGCCTCCCAAGTATCTGGGATTACAGGCACGTGCCACCATGCCTGGCTCTTTTTTTTTTTGTTTGTTTGTTTTGAAGTAGGAACAGGGTTTCGCCATGTTGGCCAGGCTGGTCTCAAACTCCTGACCTCAGGTGATCCACCCGCTTCGGCCTCCCAAAGTGCTGGGATTATGGACGTGAGCCACTGTGCCTGGCCGACCCTGTTCTAAGGAAGGCCAAGGGCAGGAAGCTCTTAGCAATAGCTTTGGCTGATCCTTGGCCAGCAATACCGTATGTCACTCTGGCCAAGAGAAGAGCTGCTGTGGAGCACTTGGTGTTCTCTAGCCTTTGTGGAGGTCACAGGCAAACAGGGCAGGGGAGCAAGGCCTTAATTAGTTAGGGACTCCTGGAGCAAAGCCACTTGGCAGTGTCTCAGCTTCTTGGTGGGACTGGCTCATTCTCCTAGTGACAGTGCAAATACTCCTTCCCTTTATAGCCTTTAAACCTCCAAGAGATTGGTCTTCTTCCTTGAGCTTCAAGATATTTCTATGCAGTGTGGTTCAGGGCTGATTTTAAAAGCCGGATAGGTGGAATGACAAAAATTCCTTCCATCTGTGTAGTACTTTTTGGTCACTTATCCACATTTTTTTTAGTTTCAAACCAACCGTCCTGCGAGTTGTAAATGAAGAAATTAAAGCTCAGAAAGGAGATGCACTTAACCAAGTTTGTATAGCTAATTCGACTCTGGGTTCCTGGAATAGCGCTCTTTCTTTCTTTTCCTTCTCTTCTTTCTTTCTTTCGAGATGGAGTCTCACTCCCTTTTCTCCCAGGCTGGAATGCAGTGGCGCGATCTCGGCTCTGGGCAAGCTCCGCCTCCCAGGTTCACGCCATTCTCCTGCCTCAGCCTCCTGAGTAGCTGGGACTACAGGCACCCGCCACCACACCCGGCTAATTTTTTGTATTTTTAGTAGAGACGGGGTTTCACCATGTTAGCCAGGATGGTCTCGATCTCCTGACCTCATGATCCGCCCGTCTCGGCCTCCCAAAGTGCTGGGATTACAGCCGTGAGCCACGGCACTCGACTGAAATAGTACTCTCTCTATCGTTATATGTGGGACAAGGGGAAAGGAGGAGAATGGTAAATACAATTATTTTGTGTACTAGGCAATGTGTAAGGTGCTTAGTTTAGTTTTCTCACATTTTGTGGTAATTTATTTTTTAATCTCTAATGTTAGGGAAGCTGAGCTTCAGAGTGGTTGACTTACTCACGATCACAGAGCTAAGAAGTGGCTGAACCTGGATTCAGATCTAAGTCTATTTGACTTCAGAACCCATGTGTTTTCATCATTATACTATATTCCTTGATAGTTGTTTATTCTGAAACATCTTGATTGAGCTGCCGATGCAACACTAGGTAGTGTCACAAGGGATGCAAGGAAGCATAAGATTTAGTAATTTCTTCCCTCATGGAGTACGTAATTTGGTGATGCTGCTATGACAGAGACAATAGTGTATAGGGATAGATAGAGACATGGGGCAATGGGAGCTTAGGGGGCAACCCTAATAATTGGTGGTGGGGGAAATTGTCAGAGAAAGCTTCTCAGAAAAGTTGGTACCTTAGTTTCTCTAGCAATAATGAGCATGGGCCCTTGGGGTCAGCTTGCCTGAGTCTCATCACTGTAATACTATATGCTAGCTGTAGTGCTTTGGGCAAGTTACTTAATCTCTCTGAGCCTGCTTCCTCATCTATAACATGTAAATTATTATAAAATCAATCTCATAGAACTGTGCGAAGATTAAGATGAGATAATCTATGTTGAATATCTAGCAACTTGCTTGACACGTAGTAAGCTCTCATTAAGTGTTAACCATTATAATTATCACTGTCTAATCTGTTTTTTTCCCATGTCCTGCTCAAGTGGGGACAAATGAAGCTAGGTAGGCTCTCTTAGGGCCTGTTATTGTCAGTAAAGTAGAGGTTTTGTCTAGAGTGATTTCAAAATATTTCTTTCATGCCCAAGATTCTGTCAAAGTAAAAGTTACTAAGTTAACTGTTTCCAGGAGGGCAGCTGTCAAGTTACTTTGTATCTCATGGCAACCAAATCTGGCTTGAGTTCCCTTTTAAAGCCAGCTCTGGTGAGTTGCTGAAAATACTACCTGATAAAAGCTTCTCTTTCCTTTGCTGACTCTTCATTGGATTGACTGAAAGCTGGCCTCTTGAAATACTGGTCTATTTCTCTTCTCTTCCTCCAGGTTTATTGTGATGGAGAAGATAATGTAATTTTAGTAGTCCAGGTATTCTCTACTACTTTAGGGTCCTGTGTATTCTGGGTAACTGTGGAATAGCAGTACCTTTATATATTTGTACAGTGCTTTTTGTTTGTTTGTTTGTTTGTTTTTTGGAGACAGGGTCTTTCCTTCTGTTGCCCAGGCTAGAGTGCAGGGATGCGATCACTGTAGCCTCCTGGGCGCAAATGATCCTCCCACCTTAGCCTCCCAAGTATCTGGGACTATAGGCACACCCCACCATGCCTGGCTAATATTTTTATTTTTTGTAGAGATGGGTTCTCACTATGTTGCCTAAGCTGATCTTGAACTCCTGGACTCAAGCAGTCTTCCCACCTTGGCTTCCCAAAGTGTTGGGATTACAAGCATGAGCCACTGTGGCTGGCCCAATGCATTGTTTTAAGATATAATAAGTGTTCTGGCTAGGCACGGTGGCTCACACCTGTAATCACAGCACTTTGGGAGGACGAGGCAGTTGGATTACTTGAGGTCAGGAGCTCAAGACCAGCCTGGCCAACATGGCGAAACCCTGTCTCTATTAAAAATACAAAAATTAGCTGGACATGGTGGTGTGCACCTGTAATCCCAGCTACTCGGGAGGTTGAGGCAGGAGAATTGCTTGAACCCAGGAGGCGGAGGCTGTGGTCACACCACTGCACTCCAGTCTGGGTGACAGAGTGAGACTCAAAAAAATAAATAAGTGTTCTTCAGAATGTCAGTATCACAGGAAATGGCATTATTATTATTACTCAGTAAAAGACCTTTGAGATCAAGTTAGGAAAAGCTAGGGGACTTTGATAAGGAAAGGTATGCAGGGTTTCCTACGTTTTTCTGAACATCTAATCTTTTTTTATCCTCAAAAACCACCTATTGACATTTTGTTAGATACCAGTGTTCCACAGAACACAATTAGGTAAATGAACACAGTGTGGCCCCCTGCTTTTCTATTAGCGTGACTTGGAGAAGTAGTATGGCCAGCTGTCCTTTAGTTGACAAGGTACCTCCATGACTCCTTTTCAAAGAGAAAATGAAATACTTAATGAGAGCTTATGTGTCAGAAAATCTCCTAAGTGTTCGACATAGATTACATCTTTATGTTCACAACAGCTCTATGAGATTGCTAATATAGTTTTCTCCATGTTGTTGTTGTAGAAAGCTAGAGATCTTGGTTAATCCACCAGTCTCTAGTTATGTCTCAGATTCAGTGGTAGGAGATTTAGCTAACTGAGCTTTTATTGTTTGCCTAAGCCTTCTTCATTTTTTCTTTTGAGACAGCGTCTCTCTCTGTTGCCCAGGCTGGAGTACACTCCAGCAGTGTAGTCACAGCTCACTGCACCCTTGACTTCCTGGGCTCAGGTGATCCTCCTGCCCCAGGCTCCAGCATCCTGAGAAACTGGAACTACAGGCACGTGCCATGATGCCCAGCTAATTTTTGTATTTTTTTGTAGAGATGGGGTTTCACCATATTGCTCAGGCTGGTCTCGAACTTGTGAGCTCAAGCAGTCTTCCCGCCTCAGCCCCGCAAAGTGCTGGGATTACAGGCATGAGCCACTGTGGCTGACCCCCAACGACTCTTAAACATTTATTGTTCTGGGGTAATGAGGATGTAGTGATG